TTGATGAATTTAACTTGATCACTAATAATAATATAAGTTGAATGAAATTTAACTTGATCACTAATAATAATAATATAAGTTTAATGAAATTTAACTTGATCACTAATAATAATAATATAAGTTGAATGAAATTTAACTTGATCACTAATAATAATAATATAAGTTTAATGAAATTTAACTTGATCACTAATAGTAATAATATAAGTTGAATGAAATTTAACTTGATCACTAATAGTAATAATATAAGTTGAATGAAATTTAACTTGATCACTAATAGTAATAATATAAGTTGAATGAAATTTAACTTGATCACTAATAATAATATAAGTTGAATGAAATTTAACTTGATCACTAATAATAATAATATAAGTTGAATGAAATTTAACTTGATCACTAATAATAATAATATAAGTTTAATGAAATTTAACTTGATCACTAATAGTAATAATATAAGTTGAATGAAATTTAACTTGATCACTAATAATAATAATATAAGTTTAATGAAATTTAACTTGATCACTAATAGTAATAATATAAGTTGAATGAAATTTAACTTGATCACTAATAGTAATAATATAAGTTGAATGAAATTTAACTTGATCACTAATAGTAATAATATAAGGTTAATGAAATTTAACTTGATCACTAATAATAATAATATAAGTTGAATGAAATTTAACTTGATCACTAATAATAATAATGTAAGTTGAATGAAATTTAACTTGATCACTAATAATAATAATATAAGTTGAATGAAATTTAACTTGATCACCAATAGTAATAATATAAGTTGAATGAAATTTAACTTGATCACTAATAATAATAATATAAGTTGAATGAAATTTAACTTGATCACTAATAGTAATAATATAAGTTGAATGAAATTTAACTTGATCACTAATAGTAATAATATAAGTTGAATGAAATTTAACTTGATCACTAATAGTAATAATATAAGTTGAATGAAATTTAACTTGATCACTAATAGTAATAATATAAGTTCAATTGATCCACAGTTAAATAATACGTAATAGACTGGAGGTGTAATTTAGATGAAAGTTGATGATATAATGTTTCAGTATCACTAGGTAACCTCTATGAGAATATGATATTTTATTAACTCTACTGATTTGATAGCCCAATGAAATATAGATATATTATAGTTTATAAAACTGTTAAAATATTCCACTCTGTGAACATAACCCATAGAATTTCATCATAGTTTATTAAACAGTATTACTAGGTAACCTCTATTAGAATATGATATTTTATTAATCTGTATCAATATGATAGCCCAATGAAATATAGATATATTATAGTTTATAAAACTGTTAAAATATTCCACTCTGTGAACATAACCCATAGAATTTCATCATAGTTTATTAAACAGTATTACTAGGTA